GGCATGCCGGTGCAGCCGTCGCCCGGACCAGCTCTACAGAAAGACTGAGTGAGCGAAGGAGAGAAAAGGAGGTCTGAGTGAGCCACCAAGTTTTTTGCACATAGGCTTGAGTGGCAAGTCTTCCGGCAGGTGGTTGGGTGAGTGATTGAACAGCCGGGTCGCGTTGCGATGGGTTGGGCTAATGGCCAGCGCATGCCACAAACCTTAGTAAGTGCAAACCTGCTTTGCCTGGCTGCATGTTTGTTAAAATTGTGTTGCGTTCTGCTTGACAGTCGCGCCCGCTCATCCGTCTGGTGTGGGCCGCCGCCGATGGCAGACATATACAATGCGGAATTCGGAGCTCCCGGCAAGGGTAAGCACAGTGTAAAAAGGTGACCAGCGTGCTTCCTCGCGGCCAGGTTGAGGGGACTGCCGGGTTGTCCGAGAACTGGATTCGTGTGCAAGCATGGCACACCTTGTAACTGGGTATGCAGTGGTCGCTCGGTGCGACACAGCCATACTTCGTTGCCTCGCGCACGGTCCACGCCATAATTTTACGCATCATCGCCATCATCGCTGGTCGTTGCGCTAAAGTATGCTGAAGTTGTGGGGCCACACTCTTTGGTTTCTCCTTGGTTGTTGAAGTGGGCTCGCATTTGGCCGCTTGGAGCTTCCGTGAGAGTGTCACGGGTCTCTCTCGGTCTGCACTATGCTTCTCGCGAAGAGCTTGCCTTTGCACGCGCAGTGCCGATCCGGAGGGACATGAGCACACCCGGAAATTCCAGAAGATCTAAATGTTTCACGGCATGACATGAGGACAGACCCAGCCATTTCATCTTCAGAGTTGTATTTCTGAGTTGATGCACTACTTCAGGCTACGGGGCGACAGCCAGTCGTGTGGAACTCAAAGTGATATTTTCCGCAATTGCTGCCGCAGCAGCTAAGCACTTGCAGACAACTTTCCGATACTTCTGATTCTTAGCATCAAAATCAGCCTCTTGCCGTGTATAGTGTCGCCAAGTCTTGGAGGCAAGATAAGGTCGAATCACACAGCGCTTGCCAGGTTTCGTATCAAGAGCTAGCATTCCGAATTCCACAGTGAACTGGACAGCTTCATCGAAGTCCGAGAACTTCTAGAAGCTCAGAGGCCCAGAGAGAGGTCGACTGGCGTCATCCGTGCTGCATTACGTCTGAAGCAAGGCACCGTCTGCTGGCTCGGGCGGCAGGTCTCGCACGACTCTGCGGTGCAGATAGTTTGCCAGAAATTTACACTTTTCAGGTGCATAGAGCCTGACGATGACGAAGTGCAGCTGCCGCATAGTGTTGTTGTGTTCGACTACACCTCATCCGCTTAAGTCTTGAGTCAGGTTTTGCACCATAAATCCGTGGTATTAAAGGCGAGATGTCGTCAAGAGAGTAGTGAGATTTCTTTCTGCTTGTTGCCGGGTCATTGGTATTGTTGCCAGCACTGCCCAATGAACAACATGAGATGGGATGATACAGTGTTTGTTTGTATTCCGCCGAGTGCACAAGTTCGTATGGAAAGAAGATGCTGTCTCCGGTTTTGCATTGCGGCCAGATCGGATGTCTTCTACCGGCATGACGATAGTGCGAAAGCGCCGGAGCCTAAGACTTGGATCCTTGTGGCCGGCCTTCAGTTCTTTGGGTGACGGGGTGGAGTCGCTGATTTGTTCATGTGGGTCGGTGTGTAGAGAGTACCGGTCAGGCTCAACTCTAGACCTCCCGAATCTGAGCCTGTTTTTTTGACTATCTAATCACTTTTCTCTCTGGTCTGTCATCCATGTGATTTGCTTGTCTTGTTATGTCCCAGTAGCAAGCTCAGACCGTCACCGCCATGCCTGCTTGCGGGTGTTTGAGTCGAAAGCCTAAACCCTAAAGCTTCAGCCCTAAACACTCAACCTCAAACCCCAAAACCGTAAACCCTAAGCCCTAAAGCTTAAACCCTGAACCCTAAAGCACTAAACCTGAAACCCCGCGTGCGCCTTTACTGAAAGATAAAGAATGCGCACTGGACGCTGGAATGAATGCGTACTGGACCCCCGTTCCAGTTCTTTGTGGCGTGACAAAGGCATGGTGTTTCGCCCGAAGCAGAGACTACAGACGCGGAAGTCTCTCGTCTTGCAGGCCAGCTCGACCCTGTACAGTGTTGCACGTGATAAGTCCGGCATAGTTCCTCGTGTCAGTTGCAGGCAGCCCGCAGTCTCCAGAAGATGGGGCTGAGGCATGCCCATGCAAAGAGTTTTTGTTGGGGGGATTCCGCATTTTCGTCCCGACACCTCGGTGCAGGTGCCAGCCGAGCAGCTGCGATCGACGACACCTTTTGCGGAACCCAAGGCTGCCAACCGCAGGATTAGTGCTGGATTCGGGAGCTGAACATAATGCTTGCCCTCAGTTCGCCGGCACCTTCCATTCGTGCAGGTGGTGCCCTTCGAGCGCTTTGATGCTGCCAAGTTTCGGGTGACTCCTGCAGAAGTGGCGGGAATCGAAAGGCAACCACTGAAAGCTCCTACATGCTTGTTTGTGATGCGACGGTCTCCAACCCCATGCATTAACAATTGCCGTGCAGAGGGCAGAGGAGGCAGGTGAAAGCCATGATGTATTCAGCCGAGTTTCCCGTGTAGGGCTTGTGCTCAGCGTGGCGAGACTTACGCCAACACCCCAGTTGGATCTGCAGGTGCTGTGTATCAGTCGACACGACATCACACCATGTTCGCGGCCCGCCATGAGTTGTGATGCGGTCTCCCAGCTCTGCAAGGTGGACCCCCAGTTTGCACCAACAGCAGCTTCTCTTTACTTGGCAGCAGCGGAGGCCCAACACATGGGTCGAATTGTTAGTCGAATTATTCGTGATCGTTTCGTATTTGCCTAGCAGGCCTAGCAGTGCAGCGATCTCAGGAGCATACCTGGCAATGCCTGATCTGCCATGCTCACAGCAGGCCTGCCCCGCGCTTGCAAATTTTCAGGACGTGATTTGGGGCGAGGATCGCTTCACACACCGATGCCATGCTGGTCTAGGTATTGCAAGGCCGTGTATTGTTTCGGCCTAGTCGAGAAAACAAGCCTAATAAGACTGATGAAACGAATGACTGGCTGAAGACTGACGGGTTCCCCATCTGACGGAATGCATACCAAGAAAGGTGCACAGCCAAGCCGAGCAAACTACGTCAGCAATCTGGTGACACTGTGGCTGGTGAACAGATAGCTACTTCGCCAATCTTCGCCAGAGCTAGTGCGGATAGCACGAATGCATCAAGAGGACCCTCCGTCTAAGCCACCTCAAATCAGAAAGTTGGGCGAGCGTCTGTTTAGGCGCCATGCTTGTATATGCTTGTTTCAGGCTTCCGCCAGTACCTCCGTTGGCGAACTCACGTGAAGAAGCCGCGCAGCAGGAGCAGGCAATCCACTCCTTCCTTTCTGTCTGTCTCCTGTTGCCGACCATGTGCGGCGTCACGGTGGGAGTGCGATGTTTTGGTGCAGGACTTCAAGACAGCAGTGCGTTGTCAAGGTTGTGGCCAGCCAGCGCACTACGTCGTGCAGGCATGCTGATGTCAGCTACGTTCGCGATGTTGCCACTAAAGCGTAATATCTCCCAACAAGCAAAGGCAGGAGACGAGGGATCAAGCACAGACGAAGAGGGGACATAGCTCCTGCGGTCCTACGACACCCACTCTCAGCGAAGCACCAGCGAACGATTCTCGAAATTTCTCTAACGTTCGTTTATGCTCCTCTGAAGCTTTGCAAAATGAAGCCCGCTGGCATACTGGATTCCCCAGCTTGGCATACCACAGGTGCGATACTTCACGCGACCAACACAGTGGCTGAGACCTGGTCACGCCTGCGAGGTCCCTGTGAGATTTACTTGCTGACATCGCCTGTACGCTTCAAGATGCTCGTGCTAGAAGTCGCTGTGGTAGGAGTAGCCTTCGCTCCCTTTGCCTTTCCACACATGTCGTTGGGACCGGGGCAAGCTGTCGCTGAACCCGTCAAGTTAAGCCTTTCAGCTTGAGTTGACCGTGTAGGAAGTGGGAAGCTGTCCGGCCAGGGTTGCCAGCTGATCTGGAGCCAGCTGCACAACGGGAACACCCTGGCTGCCACAATGCCGCTTGGCGATATGTGCATAAAAATGCAGTGAGTTTCCGGGCGTTCGCTAGGCCCAGGTTTGCCGACCACGTAAACCGTCCACCAGTGCCTTCGTCCTCGCTGAGAGAAGTCTAGGACTGCCACCTTCCTTATGGGCTTCCCGGCTCTGCTTTTCTGTGCCTGGCCATGGGCAGCTCTGCTACTGCAGGTGCACTCACTACCTCCGCGATTCAGTGTCTCAGGCAGATGACCTAGAGCATGTGTTCGAGCAATCCTCGTTCTTGAAGCACGTCCGGCATCAAAACTAAAAAGAGATCTTGCAAAATGGATGCCTGGGCTGATCGGATGTCCTCTTCCCCTGGTCTGGCTTCCCCGAAGCGGCACGACCATTTCCCAACACATCTTGTTTCCAAGCCACGATGTCGCACCTCGAATCTTCTTGCCTTTGGAATTCTGATGGTGTGGCTTCTGTGAGTCTTCTGTGAGACAGTCTGAGGTCCTTGGAACGCCATGGAAGGTCATCAGAGAGGCATTGCTGCCAGTGTTCCGTCTGCTCTGGGGCTTCGGCAACACCCGCGTTTCGCGCTCGCTGCTTTAGACTGGCAGAACCGAAGAATCAACAAAATGCCCTGCTACAAGGGACCGTGCCACAGGCGTTTTGCCAAGTGCTCAAGCGCACCAGACGGCATGTGAACAGAAGGTGGGACATCCTTGCACGAGGCAAATCCTCGCAGCAACATTGGCCGCTCTCCGTACAGCAGACATGCGTCAAGACTCGTCTTGCTGCCCATATGCTGCCGTCTGTTTAAGCGGTTACATCGCAGAGCATCGTTCAGGCGGTGTAGGGCCAGACCCCACGCAAACCAAGCCAAACCAGCCCTTGTCCGACCTCCAGAGCCTAGACTCGGATAGCACCATCCATGGTCGCATTGCTCGCCTTGGCGCTCTATGCAGGGCTGCAGCTCAGCGGAGGTCTGGTCCGTGTGGAGTTCCAGGTTTCTGTCGGAATAAGAGCCGGTTTGCATCTCAATTTCCTCGGAACAGTGGTTGGTGTTATGTAGCAGAGAAACTAGCAGGAACAAGAACTCCTGGCGAGTTGCAGGTAGCTTCCAGTATCCACGAGCTGCAAGACGGCCAAAGCCTGTCTGCAGGCGAAGACGACAGACGAGGTCCGGCCAGGCACGGTTACTGCTTCGCTGTACCGTAAATCTTGTAGATCAGCCGGATCTGAAAATCCGGCTTCTGTTTCAACATGGATTGTCAGACTCGTGCGAGTGTTCCAAGCATTTTTGTGAGCGCCTGAAGTCGCATGTGAATACACAGGACCCTCGGCCATGACTTCGAACAGTTTCTGGAGGAGGGCACATGCCCAGGCTCGGGTGCCTGCCGGCATCTGCTGCTTCTGTGTGTTACAGCGTAGTCATTTGCTAGCCCACATGTGTTCGCCATAGTTCATTAGCCTAAGGTCCTGCAATGGTCTTGTTCGCCTCGGAGATAGCAGATGTCGAAACGATCAGAGCCTTTCAGGACAAACATGTTCGTTGAGCTTTCTGCTTGGTGCATTTGCTTGTTTGAAATTGCACTCGACAACAGGAATCTGCGGATGAAGTAGACAGCTTGGCATGTGACTCGGGCAAAATCGTTAGTATCATGTATTTCTGAGCTGTTTGCGGTGTCGAATAGAACCGACGAATCATGCTGGCACTTCATGCAAGGCCTTGGAATTCTCAACTGCGACGCATGGAGGTCTAAATGTTCTGAACAGAATATCCGGCGCACTCCGATGGTGCTGCTGTACCCACGCGGGCCACGTGCCTCACTTGAACGGTGCTTGCAGACCCTGATCTAATTTGTGGGCTCCCGGATGCATCAGGGCAAGGCGGCAAGGCTAAGTGGACAGGTCTCGGCGATCTGAGAATCTGGCGCCGCTGTGTAATGCTCTCACGCCTCGGTCTTTCCGAGTTCTGGGACTGCTCAAAGTATGTAATAGTGTATCGTATCTTGTATCCCGTGCTGGGTGCTGGGGGGGGGGGGGATCTCATAGCTGTATAAGAGGGCTCAAGAGACTCAATAAGGACGGTGTTGGAGGCGAGTTCTGCAAGATCGATTCTGACCCCAATTCCTTCGCTGCGAGGTGGTGGCAGATTCTATCGAGGGCAGCATACGAAGGAAGGCTTCACTGCAGCTGTTGCCGAAAGCTTGGCCTGATGATTCTACCATGTGGTAATCGGCAAACCTGGCCTTCGTGCGCAGTGCCCCAGGCCAAAATGGTGGCCTTCAACGACAGGACTGGCCGTTGCTGGCCTGAGTCGTTGAGCCGAGCTCGCAAGCTGATTCCTTTTTGGCGAGAAGAAGCGCGGCAGAAACTGCCAAGACATGCCAAGACCGTCAGAAACAACGGCATCCGCACGAGGGTGCCGTCAAGGCCCACAGAGCCAAACAAAGGAGACAATCGCTTCCAGTGCAAACCAACGGCGAGAGGTAATCCGAGGGATTTGGGCAGGCTGCTAGCAGACCACGAACCCGGACATTCTAATTCAAACGCAGTAGCATTCGGTTTAGCTGGTGGGATTGGCTCTGGCTTAAAATGGTATGGTGGTTGCGGTTGCAGTGCGAGTGTCAGTGTGCCACGGTAGCCCAGGCAAATCCCTAAACAACACAAAGTGTCAAGGGATCATCTCAGTGGTATAGCGCCGACCCGACACTGCGGGACCTTGCCTGGCATGTCCGAGTTGTGGGAGTGCATAAACAACTCAGACCGACTAAAACCCAAAGAGATAGTCTGCTTTTGGGTTATCTGGCGTCTGTAGTGCAGGCAGTCAGCTTCAGGATGGGTTAGCCAGTATGTTCCGCAGATGGCTGCGTGATCAGATCCGAATGTGTCGTCTCTGAAGCTGCGGCTGTTTTCTACTTGGCGGTGTTTCGCTGGTGGCTTTTCCGGGTTGGCCTGGCTGCCCGCGAGATGTGCCACGGAAACAGAGGCTGGGCACACACTCCGGCCTGACACAGCACCCACCCTTCTTGGAAAACTTCACTCGTCGCCTGCTTTCCTGCGCCCCTGTGTGACAGAGGGACACCTCCCAATAGGATGGGCAATGCATGACCCCTGGCAGCCACAAGACACGGTTTGCTTGTACTGGGGTGGGTTGGGATACGGCCAGTGCATTGCATTAACATGCTTGACAGCCTGGCTCGTGCATTGTTTGTCCAGGCTTCTCGACCTGCTGCGAGCAAGTCTTTTTCGCTTTTCGCCTGTGTTCGCTGGCTTTGCCGTGTTTCTTTCAGTTGCAATGCCTTGGACACTGAATGTCCGCTCGGCCCCTCCGCTGCCACACGGGGGCGTGCCTGTGCCTTCTCATCCTTGTGCCAGTGTCTGTTTGCCTTCTGGAGGTGTCGCTGCTCCTCAACCTCGCGTTGTATGCAGCCCTTATAGTGCAGTGGCACCCCCTACCGTCGCGAGATTTGAAAATCGCCCCGGCTGCAACGACGGATCATGGGCCCAGCCGCCGTTCTCGTACATCTTCTCTGCGGCAGGGTGTTGGTGTCTTTTCTCTAAAAGACTTGGAAGATTCGGAGCGCACGAGATTGGCTTCTGTTTGGGCGGGCTTCGCCGAAGCTTTGTTGCCGCACAGCGACCTGGACGCCGCCGGTGTCACGCTGAAACAACTGGGCCATCTATTCTTGGATAAGTCGCCAGCCACTCTACGTCGTCATTTATGCGGCTGGAGTCGGCTGGAGGGCTTGGCTTGGCTTCTGCGTCAGTGTGGGCTGGTGCGCAGGAAACCCGAAATTAGGCCAGGCCTGGAAGCACGGCTTCGTTTCACGCAGCTCAAACCGAGTGCCGGAATTGCCGATAGCCCGGCAAGCCGGCCTCCACGACATGTCAGTAGTAACGCGTATGGCTTTGTGATACCATCCAGTTGCAATATTTAGCATCCAAGGCCCATCGAACGCTGTAAGTGAGTCAGACTCCTCATCCGAGTCACCTGAACCGGAGTCAGACTGGCTGGCTTCCACCTCTTCGCATTCTGACTCTGGCTCTGTGTCGCTGCAATCATCACACGACGGTGCTGGCGAGGAAGGCAAAGGCGCAGGTTGCTCAGGCAAGGATTGCAAGCCACGGTTTGGGGAGTTTAGGGGTGTACAAGGGACCCAGCCTGAGTAGATGGCAGCCAGCACCTCACGTTGGCATTTGACTTGCCCCACGATGTCGTCCCGCCCATATTTCGGGACTGCTTTGGACATAGCGGGGAGAGCATGGTGGCCTTGCTTGGCTCGAGTTGCTTCGTCCAACAGGAGCTGGTTGGCCCGGCTTAGCAGCGTGCACTTACAGCTGTGCAGTGAGAACATGGAGGCCTCATCTCGAGACAGCCCTCCATGCGTCCAAAGAGCACGACGGAAATGTCCCAGCATGGCGCAATACGAGAGTGGCTTTCCGGAAGACGCAGCTAGCAGGAAGTCCTGTTCGGGGCGGAGACTCTTCAGGCCGGACAAGAAGGCGGAGCCCCAGCCGGACTTCGATGCACCACTCATCACACACCCCCAGGCCATGCCCCACGGGCAAAATTTTGCGCGCCAGCACCAGCCCCGGATGGTGTCTTGCGATTGGCCAATGGTATCTACCTGAATCCGCTGCAATCGCTCCATCCCAAGCTTGCCAATACCATCAGTAAGACACAACACAGCAGCCAAGAATCTTCACCGCAATCAAGTTTCAGTGTCTCCTCCAGCTTCTTGTGACTACCCGAAGAGGAAGTGGACCCGAAGAGGAAGTGGACTGGCTTCGCAGGGAGGACGCTTGGACCATTTTTCTGACTTCCGCCAAGCTTCTACCAAAGGGTTTGTTAAGCATGCTTTCAGTGAGGAGAGCTGGAACTTGTAGGCAGCGAAGCTGAGGGCGCTAAGAACCTCATGGCTGAGCGAACACGATTTTTCCCTCTGTCCACTCTCGCACCTTCCGCCAAGCTCTCCAATTCTGTGGCACTTTCTGGTGCGTGACCTGTGCGGTCAGTGAAAGGCCCGTGTGGCCGTGTTCAGGTCCTGCGGGCCAGTCAATGTAGGTCCGCGTGACCTGCGTGTTGCAGTATTTGAGACCTGTGTTATCGATTGCCTTCCGATATTCACAGCAGAGGACAGTGGAAGCCTATGTTGTTTTTTTCCCGATCTCTCCGCGCTGCGTGCCACTAGTGGATTTTGAATTGCGCATGTGCGTCTTTCACAGCTGTGTTTGAATCGACTTGATTTGCTTTCTTCTTTTTGCAATGCCGCCGTCGACGAACTGGTCAAAGCAGCTACAGGAGGCCGGGGTGCCTAGGGAGGCCGCCGATGCTATTGCTGGCGCTTATGCCTCCGACCAGCTGTTTTATCATGCATTCCGAAATGAAGACCGGTTGGATGCCTACGCCAAGTCCGTGCTGGTCAAAACCAAAACCATCAGCCAGGATGACGAGGACTGGGACATACATCCGGCAGTTGCTGCCTTGCGTGGAGTGTGGGACAGCCTGAAAAGCTCCAAGTCTGCAGCAGTGCTCACACCTGTCACTGAGAAACCTGCTGTGGACTCTACGGCTTTGGTCCCCTTTCTACAAGCTTCCTTCAAAATGTCCTCGGGAGATCGTGCAAAGCTAGTGGAGAAATACGAGAACGATTATCCCGGCGTCGGTGTTTGTCCGTTGGTTCTCCCCAGCCTCCAATATTTGCAGATCATTTTAAATCCCAGTGCAGCAACCGTTCCTGGGAATGGACCCCATGGCGCAAAATCATCAGTGAGACCGCTGCAGTAAAATTCTACGACAAGAAAAAGTACGGCAAACCGACAGATGCGTGGGAGTATGTCGCTCAGTGTGCAGGGTGGGGCCAGGATGAACTTGAAGAAGTGGGTGCGTCTCCTTTCAAGGTCGAGAAGCTGTTGTATGTGCGCGGGCATGCATACGGCATGTTGGGATGTGGGCATCCGCACTCTTGGCATGAGTACATCGCGCAGTTCATAGGTTTGTACTCGGAGACTCCGTCTGAAGGGTGCCGCATGCCGAAAGGGGAAGGAAGCGCAGGAGGCCGACCGTCTTGCCATGGCTGCTCTTCAAGGGCACAACTGCCGACGATGCACTCCACACAATCGTCAAGGAGCGTGATGTTCTCCGTCGTCTACTCTTTTGCCCGCCCAAAGCTCCCAAGGAGAGCAAAGGGGCCGGCAAAGGCAAGGAGCGCGAGCCGCTCCCCCGCAAGTCGGCGGGCAAACGCCCGTGGTCGGGTCAGGGAACCGCTGGGGCTGACAAGCCGGGCAAAGGCAACGTCTCTCTGCAATGGCTTCCAAGCTGGGAAGTGCAAGTTCGGCGCGACGTGCAAGTTTATTCACCGTTGCGCCAACTGCTTCGAGGAGGGCCATGGCTCCGGGGAATGCAAGAAGCTTTGACTATCCAGTTCGTCTGTGTGCCCTGTGCCTCCAGAGCCTTCAACGTGTTGTACTCTTCCTGCCATGTTGCCAGTTGATATGATTCCTGCAGACATTGACCAAATTTCTCCCCAGAAAGACCGTTCAGGCGCTGGCAATGTGGGCACAGCTGTCGGGGTCTCACCGCCTGCTCTTCGGGCAGAAGTCGCTATTACCGATGGTGGCGGTCATGGGAGCTCAGTGGACTGGCTTGCTCCCCGTGAAACAAAAGATGTCCTGGGTCCGCTACGTCGCACTTTTCTGGGTTTAGCTTCAACTTGGAACATGGTTGACCGCTTGCGTGCTCATGTGGCGACAAGATCTGCCGAGTGCATCTTTAATTCCGACGAGATTTCAGTGCTGCGAAGGGAGTTGGTGTCTTTCCTTTCCGCGGCAGGATTTCCTTGTTCCACGGAAGTGCGCGAGTTCCAGCCGTTTCTACTTGATGCTTGGCGTAGCTTGGGTCAACTCACAGGGGATATTGATGCTTCTTTGCCCTCTATTCTGGAAGTTGGTGTGCCAGCGGGTGTGGTCTCCCCCATTGAGACTTCCGGCGTATGGTGTCCTTCCGACAGCCCCGCTGCCGACGACGAAGAGCTGTCTGTGCATTCCGAGCCTTGGCGTAGCGCTGCAGATGATCCCGAGCTGACACTGGAACGTCTTCTTCAAGACGTCGCGAAGGGTCATGCCTTTGAGCTGCACGGCGGTGAGCAGGAGGCGCGACAGAGACCTGGTGGCCGCTGGCAAGCTGGGCATCTCCCAACCACCAGGGAAGAAACCTCGCCTCCTCGGCGACGGCTCCATATCCGGATCAAACTCCCGCTCCTGTATCCGGGAGACAGTCAGCCTGCCCACACTGGAATGCATCCGCCGCCTTCTCAGTTTGTTTCCTGCAGGTGATGAATGATGTGCCTTCAGTTTCCATGTGCGTGGGGCACACAAGCTGGTTCTGGTCCGCGACGATGAGCAAGGGTTGAGTTGCTTCGTGCTAAAGGCCGGTGGTTTGTATACCGTACCTGCTACTTCGGCTGCAAGTGGGCAGCCTACTGGTTCAGCAGAGTTGGAGGCTTCCTTGTGCGAAACCTCCATCGTTTCATTTGGGTTGCCCATGCGCTGCTCCTTTACTCCGACGATGGCTTGGAGCTATTTCCTGTACAGGTTGCTCCTCTGTTGGCATCAATTTCAGTCATGTTCGTGGCAGCGTTGGGAGTTCCATTGAGCTGGGAGAAACTCGCCTTAGGGACCAAGATCCCTTGGATCGGTTAGCGCTTCAACTTGTCAAACAGCTGCGCTGTTTTGCCCGAGGACAAGAGAAGGATATCTCTACAGGTTCTCCAGCAGCTCATATGTCCGGGGAAAAAAGTAGACAAGAAGCTCGTAAAGGAGGCGATCGGTTGGTTATTGTGGTTTACTGGCGGCCCCCTTTGGCTCCGGCCTTGGCTGCGGGAGTTCTACGAACTCCTCAAAAAGCCACGGGTTGCTTTCCGCATGCTGACACCGTGCCAGTTCGCAGAGACCGTTGAGTGTTTGGGCAAGAAAATGCTGGTGATGTCCCCGCCTGCACAGTCAGATGTGCTTGTCGGCTGGAGGTTGCACTCTGTCAACAACTGCGCAGTCAAGAGTACACAGTGCAACGCTATTGTACACCCTCGTGTCCGCTCGAATGGAATTTCAACTGTTTGGTACAATTACGACAGCAAGTGGACGGACTTCTACTTGCTCCTCCAGTGCAGCTGCCGCCGCGTTATTTTATGAATCTATTGCAGGCGCCTATCCCTCTGTGTGAGCTACAGCCGGCCGATGGCATGTGTGCGGCCGATGCCTATGCGTCTGCTTCAAAGGCAGGAATAGGGGGCTGGTGGTTCCCCGGCGATGCCTTCAACTTGTCAAGTCAGGTGGTTCAGCATGCAGTTCTCTTGCGCGGGGACTCTTCCACAGGCTTACAAGCCTTTATTGCCTCCTTTGAATTGAAGCCCTTGCGCAGTTGGTTCTCCTCTTGCTCCGAGACAACGAGGCCTGCCTTGACTGCCGGCAGCCCGTGGTGGACAACCAGAGCGTTTGTTCGGCCACAGGCAAGATGCTCACTACCAAGGCTCCACTGTGCTTTATTCTTCAGGCGTTGGGGTACTGGCGCAGCTCCCGAGGGATGCATCTACACGTCTCTCATCTTGCTGGTGAGCGAAACGGCTGGGCTGATAGCCTAAGTCGGCAGTCCTTGCCAGACGGCCTGCTGGCCTCCAGACGCCGCGCCTTGGACGTGCGCGACGTCCTATCTCAGCCGTGGGCTCGTCTTCACTGAGTGAGTGGTGAAGGTCACCAAGGCTGACCGTGCGTGATATCTCAGCCGTGGGCTCGTCTTCACTGAGTGAGTGGTCAGGGTCACCAAAGCTGACCATGCAGCGTGTCTCTGTGTTACTTGTCTTGCCTCTTGAAGCTTTGTATTTACTTTGCATTGCTTTGGTGGCTTCGCCCTTCGGTGGGGGGCCGTGAAAGAATTGTGTACCCGCCGGCGCAATGCGGATCCTGCACCTTTCAGGAGGGGTGTGGCATGCTGCAGGCAGGATCTCCGTTGGGACCTGTCTGCAGTGTGCAGGCATCTGCATTCAGGAAAAGTGCCTCATGTGCTTGTATTGTTTGCGTGCTTGCTTGCTACCGTGTAGTGTTGGTTTGCTTGTACTGGGTGGGTTGGGATACGGCCAGTGCATGCTCCGAACACTACCTGGTTGCTGCATCAACATGCTTGACAGCCTGGCTCGTGCATTGTTTGTCCAGGCTTCGACCTGCTGCGAGCAAGTCTTTTTCGCTCACCCGCCCGCCCTGCAAAGGTTATGGCGACAGGCCCTGGCGCGGCTCAGTGGATGTGTCCTTCGGCTCAACTCGGAACTTCTGCGCCATGTCGCAGCTGTTATAGTGACGACCTCCTCTGCGGAGGGGGGTGTGGCATGCTGCAGGCAGGAACTCCGTTGGGACCTGTCTGCAGTGTGCAGGCATCCGCTTTCAGGAAAAGTGCCGCATGTCCTTGTATTGTTTGCGTGCTTGCTTGCTACCGTGTAGTGTTAGAAAATAAGCATTTGGGACTCACCTCTGTAGCTCTGCCTTAGCACACAGGGCTCCAAACTGGTGGAGCAATCACCTGGTCAGGACAGCGTAAAAAATCGCGAATCACAAGTGGCGAGCGCAATGGTGAGAGCGGGCAAAGATGCATCGTGGTGTGCGGCACATGTCGAGTTATTCAGGTTGTTTAAAATTGATAGTTAACATCTTTCACTGTTGGTACGTTATTCAATGAACATACGTAGTGCAAGTCACGAGGCCGTGGAAAGGGGTCCCCTGTGTTCTTGCAGTGGATGGAGCGCACACCCCGAGGGGCGAGATAGGCATCAACAAAAAGTCATAGGGATCAAGATTGTTGTAAATTGCAGTATTTGCAGCCCGTAAACACTCACAAACTGGTCTTTCTCTCTAAGAGAAAAGAAGGAAGGAAGGATGGGGGCGTGTTTAAGGTATAGGATGATGATGTGAGCTGAAATCGTCAAATCAGGAGGTGATGAAACCGGAATCGCCACATAAGGGGCCGTTTTTAAGACATGTGATGAAGATCGCCAAATGAAGGGGCGTGCTTAAGACATATGATGAACCTGAATCGCCAAATGAGGGGGCGTGTTTAAGATATATGATGATTCGGAATCGCCAAATGAAGGGGCGTGATTAAGACATGTGATGAAGGAATCGCCAAATGAGGGGGCGTGTTCAAGATATATGATGAACCTTAACCGCCAAATCAGAGGCGTGTTTAAGATGTGTGATGAACCGGAATCGACAAACGAAGGTCCGTGTTTAAGACATAGGCTGAACCGAAATCGCCAAATGAGGCAGCGTGTCTAAGAATGTTGAAGGTATATGATGAATTGGAATCGCCACCATGGATAACGCATTCTGCTACCGCCAGAACCATTGCGACCAGGGCATTTCCCTGTTTGTTTTTTTGATCCTTATTTGATTTTGTTTAGACCCGAAAATTGCAATCTTCATTATACCCCCCAGGAGTTTTGATATTTTGTTTTTGTTGATCCCTGTTTTGATTTGTTTTTGATCCCAGACTTTGATCGGTGTTTGTTTTTTTTGATCCCTCAGCCCCGCGGGGCTGTGGGAGTGCCTGGAAATTACAACTTGCGCCCAAGGAAAAACGACACAGTCAAGACTGCCTCGGTTCTTCTTCGCATCGCCCAACCTGTGCTTTTGACTCGCACTCCAAGCGGCCCCAGTGAGTGATAGAGAGAGAGAGACACACACACAGGACACGGACGGTGGCGTAGGGGAAGCCCGCTTTCCCCGCGCAATTGCCTTGCAAGCAAGCAAGCAAGCAAGCAAGCAAGCAAGAGAGAGAGCGAGAGAGAGAGAGAGAGAGAGAGACAGGGGGCTCTGACCAGCCCCAAGCCCGGGAGAGAGAGAGACAGAGAAAGAGAAGGAACAGGCCATGATTCATGAACTTTAGGCATAGCCTTGAGTCCGCAATGCCTAGGCCGAGGCTGGTCTAATAAGTCTATCGCCGACACAGGCATCAGACACGGACTATCTCTATGTGTACCCAATTCGTAAATAAATTGAATGCTTCTTTTCCTCATGTGACTCCGTCCGACTGGGCCTGCAGGACGTTGCACATCACCGCCAACAACTTGAACAGTTTCCTTGCGGGACCTTGCCGCAACATAAGACATAAGCATCACGAAGAAGGTTCTTTGGTTTGCCCTGCCCGAAGAATGCAAGGCCATTTTGGTAACAACGTGGGCATACAGACAGTTTGGCAGCACAGGCAACAGCAACTCGTGATTGGAAGGACGAGCGCGGCCGATCAAAGTATTGCTTTTCTCTCGACGTCAGCGAACTCCTGTCATCTTCAAGGCCAGACCCGATACTCTAGGTGTGCTGCTTTGACTTTACGATCAGATGTCCGTGCAAGCTGGAGAAGGCGCTATCTCATGACGATGACCTCTGGCCACACATGGAGTTTGGTTTCGTGCCTGCGGAGGAGGACAATCAGAAGAATCCTCTGTGGCTTTGTTGCACGGTTTATGATGACTGAGCGATTCAATTCATGCTGTATTCACTCTCACAATCTCTCACACATCATAAAGTTTGTGTGCAATAAATAAGCCCACAGCAGAGAATCAGTGAGGCTTGATCTCTACAGCGTCGAGTCCGTTCCACAGGTAGTTGTGCAGCAACTGGGCTCAAAGCCTATGGACCCGGAAGGTGGTGTCATGTGGCTACCGTGTGCAGGTACGGGCCGGATGCGTCGACGAAGCAGGTCTACATCAGCACGGAAATTTCCTACCAAGCTCTGAAGGACACCCAAAGACTTACTAGTCGGCCGCCTTCTCGACTCAGTGACATGTCGACTCTGAGAGAGCAGGAATGGCTGACGCTTCAGCGCTCAAAGCATTGGCTGGGAAGTGCTTCATGGAAGGAGGAGAGCAGAGAGAAACACAGGGCTGAGTTCGCTGGCATCTGCGGGGCAGTCTGCAGGAGGAGGAGGAGGACGAAGAAATGCTGCTCGATCAGGTGCCCCTTCTACAATGCGTCGCAAGCCTGTTCGTCTGCCAGTTCCGGTTCAGGGGGAAGAAGAGGAGGATGATTCAAGTGCGGCCACAGCTTCAAGATACGAACTGCTGGAGAGAGGCTGGGAAGCTGCAAAAACATGCCGGCAACATGATTCATTCCTTGCTCGCCCGTTGTTTGAGCGAGGCACTGCCGGTTGCCCGATTGATCTGGAGATTGCATCTGTCACTGAATGCCAGAACGCACTGAAGGCGCGTTGACGTTGTGAGCGCTTGGGACTGCGCTTGGGGGATGCGTGTGCAAGCACTGAAGCCGCCACCGAGCTGAGTCCAGGAACTCGGGATGCGGGCGGACCCCACGTGGGTCGCTTGGAATTTTTGGCATGGCTGCTCGCTCTGGCGAACGCGTCACCAGTGACAGAGCCTTTTCTTGTCGGACCTGACATTTAGCTTAGAGTTTAGAGCACAAGGCCAAGTCTCAGCGCAAGCGGCTACAGGTCTCCAACTTCCCGGAGCTTCCTAGCAAGTGTTCCGTGCGCACCGAACCGACTCAGCAGCATCCAGAAAGGCGTGGGGAGAGGGGCTTGCCATTGCTTGCTTATGGCCTCTCCATTACAGTGAGTAGCTGGAAGGATGCACTTCAACTCTTTCGTCGGGGGAGCTGGCCGGGAAGATCTATCTCCCGTGTGTACCTGATTGAAAGCTGGACTTGTGAGGTAGCGAAGGACTGCTCGTCACGCCCAGCGTCAAGCGAAGGATTGAGTATGATAGAGTGAAGCCAAGGCAAAAAGGTCCAGACGCGGGAATCCGAGAGCTCAAAAGAAGCGAAAAAGCTTCAGCAGAAGATGCGACTTGGATTGATCAAACAGCCCGCGGACAACTAGAATATACCAGAAGTTTCGACCCGACTTCCATAACCCCTTCGCGATGGATACCCCGACATGTTTTTACTAGGACCAGCTCTCGTCGGTCGTGATCTTGCTTCGAGCGAGAGACACGCGCGCGCACACTCGTGCAATCCTCCCGTTCCTACTTCATATGACAGAGGCAAAGATGCAAAGCCACTAGGCAGTTAAATGATGACTGTGTCCAGGTCCTCGGGCTTAGCCTGGTTGCCATACGATTTGAAAAAGGGCGGGTGCGTTTGCACGGGCTTACCCGGGGCGGTCTTCGTTGACCACTGCCGTTCGGGGGCCCCGGTGGTCCCCTGCTCTATACTGCATGCAATCTTTCCCTTGGTCGCAGGGTGTCCCACACACAAGCAGCCACGTGGGCGATCATGTCAATGTGAAAGCTGCAAAAACTGCTTATGTACAGGCACAAATGAAGGTACGTGAGACACAGCTAGTGTCTCAACTCATCTCACCATCGGGGCACGAGGTTTTCTGCTGTTTTTTTTTCAAAACTGCTTCTCCCTTGGTTACAGGGTTCCACACACACACAAGCAGCGTTAAACGCATTCTGACATGTGTCATGGATCGCTGAAAACATGTTGAGAACTGGCATGTGAGACTTTGATTCGTACTCTCGCTTTTAAAATTCGGATCCTGATGGGTGAAACAATACTGACTGTTTTCCATATCTTGAGACAAGACCTGTAATTCCCTGTACTCATATTGTGCAGCAAGTGGATTCGCAGGTAAGCGCCGCAGCCTCCCCTGTGCCTTCCTGTTGAAACTTCACAGAGGTGAAAGACTTTCAGCGAAATCGGTCTGCTCTGTACATATGTTGATACGGAAAAAGTCTGTCCCCAGTTGTTCTCGACACTTGTCGGCAGATCAGATCCCAAGAGGCTGCAAGGTGGACGAAAAAAAGAAGAAAGCATAACAAGCAAAAATATGAAAAAAGAGCTGCATCTTTGCATCCACAAGTACATGTACTGACATGTACTGACATGCCCACAACAAGCAGTCTGCCATGCTGTGTTTCTGTTAAATATGCAAGCGCTGTCTTGAAAACTCTGCTGCCGAGGGCCTGCTAATCTTCAAGGTCCTTAAGGGGGCACGTTGAGTGATCAAATTTTGAGACCTGCGGATGCAGAGTCGGAATCAAGCGTCCTTGATTCAAGCCTTGGCGGTGACACGAAAGGGGAACGGAACTTGATACTCCAAGCTGCTAAGCAGCTGGACAGTTCAAAAAAGAAGCACACGCACAGACAGTTAGCCGAACTTGGCGGCAGAAACTTAGCAAAAACTTGGCGACAAAAGTTTGGCGGTTGCACGAACAGGGAACTGAGCATACCATTCCCTTAAAGCTGTCTAAGTACCATGTAGGCGAAAAGTGGAACCAAAAGCGGACCTCAAAGTCGGGGACGAGCGAAGAATGAAAAAAATCCCACGGCACAAAGTCCCACTCACCAGTGTTCTGGATGATATTCCAGGCGTGACCGACTGCAAAGCTGCACGATCATGCTGAAGATGCAGCAACAAAGTAGTCGATGTATCGGTGACTCCAGATTCGCCCATGCTGCAAAAGTTCGTTCCACACATTCCAGCTAGAACGAAAGCCCAAAGTGGTAACCGATGAGCCACAGTGAATGTCCGGAAGACCCTGCTGCTGCCTGATCGAAAGTCCGAAGATCAGGAGCAAAAGTGCCGATCTTGGCGTGAACGAAAAGTTGAAATGGTGGCATCGCTGCCCCAAATTTGTGTGCATTATTACCGGCAGCTCAAAGTGCGTATATAAATGCGGGTGTTCCCGCCCAGGGTAAAGTGCTGCAGATAAGCGCGGTAAAGTTCGCAAAAATAGTGGCTCAAGAAGTAGCTGTTGCTGTCCTGGAGCGACCGCAGCAAAGTCTCCCACTCCTGGCCATACCGAGACAGACCGAAGTTGTTCAACCTGGCGGCTGAACAAAAGTTGCTGGAACTCGCGCGGATCAAGCTGCACAGCAAACGAAGAAAAGTTGGCCGGCCTTGACCAAACAAAAGTGCACCGGCCGCCCACCAAAGTATCAGCATGCGGCCTTGGTGGCGGCAAATTGGGCCGCTTAGGCGCCATTGCGCCTGGAGATCGTGCGGTTGAAAGTCCGCAATGCACGAAGGACACGCGAAAGCGCGTATCCCAGAAAATCGCCCAAAAGTGGCGATGTGAGCCACCCTAAGAATGCAATGAAAAAGTACTTGGCGTACTTCTTGAGGAACGCAAAGACAGCGCTATAGTCAATGTGCACCGGAGGCAAAGTCTCCCTCACTGGTGCAAGGCCGGACCGACGAAAGTCTTCAAGATGCAAAAGTGGCTCCACAGCCACTCGAACCAAAGAGCTTGGATGATCAGGGCCACCAAAAATGTGACCAAAAACTCAACGGCTCCTCGGAAGCACGCCGAAAAAGTCGCGGAGCTCACCATTGGACAAAGGTGGCTCCTGAACCTGAATGCCTCCAAAGTGGCCGTTTGCTCCTCGGCCATCTCTGAAAGTCTTGCAGCAAAGTTGCATCGCAGCGAAAGTCAGAGGCCAAGGCGTGCACCGACGCACGACGAGCGAGGCAAAGTGAAAACATGGCGGTGGACACCCTGAACGGAAAGTCAAGTGAGCATTCCTATGTAGATTAAAAGTGGTGCTTTCACACCGGAAACATCGTCACCGGAAAAGTCATACACCTCACCAGGAGAAGTTTCACGGCAAAATTTCATCATTTCGGTGTGGTAAAACTGGAAAATGGAAAACCTTAAAATCCTCAAAGTTCTTGTTCAGGAGAAAAGGAAAAGTTTCGAGACGATCGAAAGTCGAAGACACGAACCGCGCAAGCACAAGTACGCACAAGTGACATGACAAGTGTACATGAAAAGTGACATGTCCGCACAAGCGTCAACAGTACATGTCCGCAGAAAGTGACTCTCTCAACACTCAAAGTTCTCTTCTTTCTCGTCTCGGTTCTTCTGGGAAAGTGATGAGTGGCTAAACCACAAACCCGAAAGTAGGAAGATGGCGGAGCAAAGTCTCCTTGGCAATATACTTCGTAAGCATATCCGCAGGATTCAATGTACCCAAAACTTTCTTGATGCGAACCATGCCTGAAGCAACAAGTTCCTGAACTAAAGAAAGCGTAACTCCACATGTTTGGTCTTGCGACTAGCACCGAAATGTGAAGCAATACTCTTCCCAACGTTGCTGTCTGTAAACACGCAAAGATTTCCCTTCTGAAAAAGCTTGGGCTCTTCAACGAGATCTCACGAAAAGTGCATCTGCTGTGCCAGATCCTAGCACGTAAAGTTCAGCCTTTCAACTGGAGAGTGCAGCCGTTGCCTGCGTGCGGCTGTGCGAAAGTATATTCGCACCGAGCACAAAGAGCGAAACTCCTGAAGTGCTGCGACGGGTGTCATGACAACCTGCCCAGGAACAGCGCACTGTCACTCTCGTCCAAAGTACCTGTCACCTTAAGCAACAAGTCCTTCTGAAGGTCCGAAATTAACAGTGGAAACGTCCGCCTTGGAACCGATCAACATCAAGTCGTTTACGTAATTATGCTAGAACGTAAAGTTGCTTTGATTCGTGAACGTACAAGTTGCGGTCTGATTTCATGCGCCTAAAGTTGTTCTTCTCCATGACTGACGCAAAGGGCTTTTGCCAAAGCTTGAGGCTGTGCTTGCCTCAACCCGTAAAGGGCTTTACGAAGCTTCCACAAGGTCGCAAAGTGCGTCCTTCCGGATAAAAATCCGGAGGTAAAAGTCTTCGTTTACAAGGGCATGAAGAAAAGCCGTGGACATGTCGCCCATCGATATGTGCCATCCCATGGCTATGGCCAAAGTCAGGAGCAACGGGAGTGTGGTGAAGGAGGGGGTAGAGGCGAAAGTCTCGTCCTTGTCCTCCACCTGCTGCGTGTAGCCTCTGGCCACGATCCGACAACGTACGGTGCCATCAGGCTTTCTAAGTTTAACCCACTTCGTGGAGATAGCTGATTCCAAAGCTTCACACGGACTTTGTCAATGTCCACCTCATCAAAGACACCAAAGTCACGCATCGACTTCATCTCCTTCGTCATTCCTGCAGCCTCTTCCTCGTGCGGAAATTCTGTGTGGTACCAAATGTGCGGATTCTCAAGTGTCTTCATCAGCAAAAGTTTCTTCTCATCTTGATTCACCGCGACTGTAACTTCCAAGTCCTGCTTTGTTGTCACAGCAGAAATTGGAAAGTCTCACACACACACACACGAAACCGCTTGGGTGTCTTGGCAAAAGTGACACTCGCCATTCTTTGCACCTTAGCAACAGGCAAAGTCTCCGAAGACCTCTTGGTCGGCGAAGCAGGCACCTCCTCAACTTCACTGCTCGACATTGTCTGGCCTTGGACCTGCTGATCCGAAGTGACATGCGGCGGCTCAAAGTTTTCGTCTTACTCCCAGTCCGAGAGGTCGTCCCTTGGCGGGATCGCTTCTGCCGCTTCGTCGTCAAAGTCGTCACCAAGCAAGTCTTCAACTTCTTGCAAGTCACCAGGTGCAAGCGGCTCAGTCGACTGCTGCTTTTCTGCAAAGTTCGAAGGACAAGGTCCGGTCGCCTCCCCGGACCGCTTGGCTGGAAAGACAAACGTGTCCGTCTCAGCCTCCGGACCTGTGGGGTCCCACAGGCAGAGATGGACTGAAAAGTGACAAGTCAGCTTGTCGGGAGGGAGGGTGGCGCTTGACACTTCTCGTTTTAAAGACTCCGGTGCCGTCAGCAACAAAGTGATGGTCTAACTCTGTGTCATTGCCGACCCAAATTCCGGGACAAAAGCTGCGCGACCCTTCAAAGGGTGAGGCTTGCGAAAGAGCACGGTTTCGGCAAAGCGGCAAAGAAAGCCGGCGTACTTCTTGCGCCAGCGCCGCTCAA